GTGTGGTTGTGGAAGCTAGAACGATTAAACTTTTTTCTTTGTCTTTTTAGGGTTAGTTTATTAAATACCTTACTGATATTATAAATGTGAAAGTAACTTTATCTGTTTGTCTCGCTTACACGCCAAAAATACTGAACCGATTTAAATTGAAATTTGAAACAGACATAGATAGACTAGATCCTGAGAAAGGACATAGGTTACTTTTTAATGTGAAAAAGGGTTGCAAGAGGATTAAAAGGGTAGATCCAAGGTTATATAGATGTATCGTCATATTTAAAGCTAGAAGTTTGAAATTTATTTTTTAGCCTATTGATTAAATATTTATTTTTACTTTTTATCATTTTTGAAGCTAAAACGATGAAACTTATTTATTTGACTTATATTGTGTTAATTGAGTTAAATATTTTTTCATTATTTACGCGGACGAAGTCGCGGGTACAGCTAGTTATATATACTTTGAAATATATGTTGTTAGTTACTTATTGACAACATATTTTTATAATAGTAGTAGTAGTTCAAATGTTTTCATGCAAGAGTCTTTTCGTATGTAGGTAGACCATAAAAATATCCAATTAGGTATTATATTAAGAAATCTAAGAAAGTATGCATTATAGTTAACGTGAACTTTCAAGGTGACCTATCAAACTATTTCGGAAAGCAGCAGCATGAGTGCAAAAAAGGCTACACGCCAAATGTGTCCGCGGTTAGCCGCCATTACAATATGAATTATTAAATGTAGATGAACCTACCGTGTAGTTCAATGCCCTGACAATAATAATTGCGAAATTTGAATGAGTTCATTATGAAATTATTGATATAATTATTTCAAAATAACGAATTCGTTACCAATAGGTACCTATATCGATAAAATTAGAAAATGCTGAGTATTTTTAAAAGAAACTTTCTAAAGACAATGGCTTTTTTATCTTAATCTGCTTTTAAAGTATTTGGGGGACAAGGTATGTATATTGAAACAAATAATTTGTGTTGTCATTGTGTCCTGTTTGAGGTTGTCATGTCAAAGATAGTGAAACGCTTTTGTTAAAATATAGATAAAATAGTCAAAGTATCTACCTATTATTACATGTACCTATATGAGACAAATAACTTATTTGAAATAAGTATGCAATTTACTAAACATTTTACAAAATCCTCAAAAATTTAAAGACAGTGCTACTATATATTATTCCATAGAAATGACAATATGCCACCAATTAGAATAAAAATTGAAACCATTGCTTATAAACATGATCCAGGTCCAGTATAGTACTATACTATTCACTCATACGTTGCTGCTGTTGTGAAATACGATGTTACATGCGCGTGCGCCCTTAGTTCTCCCTAGTTCACCGCCATATAATACCTATCAGTCAAAGATACCAAGTTGAAAGTTATTCAAAAGAGACTTGGTTAGAAATAGGTAAAGTAAGGTGGAGGTACTCATGAAGACGACTTTCCACTAAGTTATAATCTAGTAGGGTATTGTACAAATTTTTTTAAGAAAATATTACATATAACGCCTAAAGGGCGAAATCGTCATTAAAGCACTGTTATGGCCTGTACATTGTAGCATTATAATGTTATCTAATATTATGTAAGCGTTTTTAAGTAATTGAAACATGCATGATAGATTACCTAGGAATGTAATATCTGTTATGCATATACATAGGAGAACCAACAAGCGTTTAATGTGGAAGTATTTAAAGCTGGAACTGATCCAAATAGTGCGAATGACGAATATGTTTACCAGTAGGTGTAGGCTAGGAATAAAAATGGAATTAGGGAGGAATGGAAGTAGGAGGTAGATATTACGGGAGGACACAATGAGCAATTAACAGATTTCAAATAGAAAAAAAATACAACTTAAGGGATTTTTAATGTATGTTTTTTGTAATCAATAAAATTTAACTATATTTATTTGTGGAAATAAATATATTTTTGTATGCCTTGTTTCACAAGATTTATTAAAGTTACAGGAATGTGCTAAATATTATAGTAATAAAGACAGTCAAAGTATTTCATCTACTAATTAGTGTTCGATGACGAAACTATATTAGACATTCGAGGAAGGAAAAAATCGACTGTAGTCTTATATAAGTTATTATAGTAAGTTAATATAGGATCACGCGAATAAAACTGTCTAAAAATGATGTACCATTCATTGTGTCCATAACAAACAAAATAATTTCTATCGAAAATATTTTTTATGGCACTGAATCATAATAGTGGCTTTTACACCATGTCCTGTTGTTTCTGTCATTTGATAACGTCATTTATTCGTAGGAGTAGGAGTAGGATCTATGCGTTCTATGACTGAACAAGAATGAGTTGGCAGACTATATATTACTCGCTCAGTGACTATTCACGGAATACGTCGTAACTACGTCAAGGATTTCGACTCCCTCAAAAGTGCTATGTCAAAATAACTCGTAGGTACAATTATGTATATGGAGGGTTTCTATACCTGAGTATATTAGACACCCTAAAATATGATTAAAGGCTAGACAGAATGAACAGATATCTGTTAAGCTCGTAATCGTAATGTCTTGTTTACTTGTAGTGATTTGCTTTAATTACTACTAATGATTATTTTATTAGATCCTATATGCTTGGATTGTTATGTCAATGGCTGGTTATTTGATTACGTTATGTCAACATACAGACTATTATAGATCCAAATGTTTGTAATTAATTAGTCATTCATTATGAGTAAGAGAATTTAATTAATATAGAGTTTCGAGTTATTAATGTATCTACTTTGTAATTATAGTAAAATAAAAAATTTAAATAGAATCCATAAATTAATACGATCTAACAAATCATAAACGTAACATTCTTATAGTAAAACTTTGTTATATCAAATTAAAATTAAAATTTGTTACATATACATTCTGTTCTGGGAACTCATCTGAGGAAAAACGTTCACGCCAACAATTTTTTATGGAGTTCAAATTAATTATTTATTATAATCGGCATTTTTATTGTTTTATCGACTTTGGAATGTTGTAAAACTATTGAATTTACTGTTTACAAATGATTTTAGAAAACCATTCCATTCTTATGACAGTCCCGTGTTTGAAGCTAAATAATTAGCTTTCCAAACGATGTTATCTCCTCTACTGATAATAAAACCGGCCAATAATATGTGAGACATACATGAATTGGGTTCTGTAGCCAGTGAAAATGTGTAATTTGTGTTTGACATCCTAAAATGAGGTACACCACCGGCGTCTGACGACGTGATATCCGTGGTGCTGTTCAGATATTAAGGAGACTGTTGGTAATTTCGGGCGGCTTCAGCTTGCTTGTCATTCCAGTAACACAAAAAACAGAATAACGAAATTTGCACAGACATAAAGTAATTATAAGAATTTATTTCAGCTACTTTTTTTTACGTCTGCTAAAATATTTTTAGAGGCCCACCGGTTTAGGGGTCGATAAGGACTAACAGATTTTTACTGACTAAAAAACTGACGGATATTCCTCCTCAAACATACCTGCGAGGCTTTGGGAATTGCTTTCGAATTCGTCTAGGACTAACTTAAGAACCTAACACAAAATTATTGAACGAATACCACGACTCTTGGTTCATTTCAACACCATAATGGTACGAAGACTAAGTTATAATTTGTTGTTTATTCCGTCCAATGGGAAAGATGAATGGAAGCTGATGACGTCATCTATTACATGTAAAGTATTTAGGTAAGTTGTAAGGTGAAAAACAGAAAGAGTTATCATCAGAGATGGACAAAAGCTTATCCTAAAAACGAGCACTAAATAAGAATAAAAATATCAAGAAACATACAATAAAGTACATTTGGGGTGCGTAGGCGCAATTTTATGTATATGTAAGTTTGTCACTCATAATTCTCAGTACCTGTGTAACGCTTCATTGTAATCTAAAGTTGTGTACTAAAGACGGATGTTTCATTATCTATGCGTTGGGTCTATTGATATGTCACGTCTCATAACATGCTGACATTGGTGTTCCAACATGCTATTATCATATCAGCTGAGTGTTGGGATACTTTTGTGCGACGTGCATGTCTGTATAATATTTTGAACACATAAATAATGTAGGTATCAGTCTAATGAAAGACATTGCGTTGACCGAAATATAGTATAAACTGTCTGGTTACTTCGATTCATTGTTTTGCTTCGAACCAACGGATGATATTATAATTAAGATGATTGATATATGTTCTGTGGTAGGTGTGGTAGATTCTGTAGAATATACAATGCAAATGTCATCTACATAATTACTGAGAACTGTTTGCATCAGAAAATGTACCGCTAAAGAAAGCACGAAGATTTAAGATTAAAAGTAATTTTAGCTGACGTCAATGAGAAGGAGATTTCCAATTCCACTTTATTTTTTGTGGTTATTACCCTAACATTGAGTGTACATTGTGTATAGTAGTATAGTCCCATAGTAAATTAGTTATTTTGATGTTTTTTCTTTTGCAGAAAGTTTAGTAGTTTTCAAAAATATTTTTAATGGTAGATCAAATCTACGGAGGATTCCAATTTCCGCAAAAATATGGTAGGATGGGGTATCCTCCCGAGTCGTTGTCGCCCCTGCAGAGAGGGGTTAGCGGCACGGGAGAAGGACGAGGTAAGAGCGGGGTGTACACGAGGGTGGTGGCCGCGGCTGCGCGATCGAAATCGCAGCCCCCGGGGACGCGGCATGTGCGCACCCTGCCTCTCCCTTGCCCCTAAAGCCGGCACCCTCTGTGCACGATGAAAAGCTCGATTATTAAGCACTCATTCAAGCTCTGGCACGCGATTATCGTCATAGCAACCACGATCGCCGATTTGACCGTATTGTATAATTAAAATTACGCTCAGATAAAAATGATGTGTGGATAAGACAGGTTCTGAAAAAATGTGACTAAGGATGATTGACTGATGAGGGGACTACCTATGGCATCCGGATTCCTCTGGCTATCCTGGCTCTGGCTATTTAGTAAAGTATTGTCTTGAAAATAGAGTGTACTCACCGTTGGCAGAGCGGGCCGCTGGTGAAGTTGCCTCCTTGCTTCGAGAACTTTCTTTCTCTTTCCCGTTGTTGTTCCCTGTGACAAAAAATAAATTTGTTCATAGCTAATAGATATTGAAATATATAAAAATATTAGGTAAACATTGAAAAGCTTACCTAATTATTTCATAATACTATGGGACGGGTCAATTTACTTATAAACTATTATAGTAGTCAATATAAATTGATTTTCCATCAATTTCGCTATATATTATTCTATTATAAGAGATTTTGACAAATTACTGTAGTTTTTTAAACATTCATTTATTTTACAAACACGATAAGCAGACCCGATAGGTACATCCGAAAAATTTGTTAAATTGGGATCACATTATTACGGAAATAACATGGAAGCAAACTCTACATACAAAATAAAATCTGATTAAAACACTTTTTTCGCAGTCGGTTATAAGTTCGTGTACATTTACATAATAAAAAATATCTTAGTAATATACTGGTTTCAATACAAATCAATCAAATCGAAATAGCATCTATTTAATTCTAGCTATTCATCCTTTTACGGCAAATATAAAATTTAACAACACATCAGTTTAAATCCTAAAGGTCTTATTCAAATATTCAAACACTTAAACGAATATTAATTAAACGTTCCATTAACTAATCTTTATCATTACATCGTATAAAACAAAGTCGTCTGTCTGTCCCTATGTATGCTGAAATCTTTAAAAGTACGCATCAGATTTTACACCGGTTTTTTAATAGAAAGAGTAATTCTAGAGGAAGGTTTATATGTATAATACATGTACACTCGTGCGTAGCCGGGGTGGGTAGCTAGTATAGTATAAAACAAAGTCGCCGCCGTTATCTGTCCGCTTAGATTTTATAAATTACGCAACTTATTTTAATGCAGTTTTCAGCAATAGATAGAGCGATTCAAGAGGAATGTGTGTGTGCATAAAAATACATGCGTGTTATAAAACAAACTGAGAAATCAAAGAATAGTAATGCATCCGTACGAAGCCGGTCGCTAGTTACATAAAATACGGGGTGTGTCATATACAATTATACAATTTGAGGAGGTTAAATGTTTCGCCACGACGTTAGTAGTTGATAATTCTGATTACCACATTTGAATATTTCTATATGGGTATATAAAAAGAATCCTATTAAATAAGGTACTTCATAGAATAATTTCTATAGTTAGTCTCCAACCGGACCACTCCATCTGGCCTAAAAGTTCTGAAATTTGCTCTAATATTACCAGGATAGGCTATATTATAAAGGTTATATTAGATCCGGATAGCCTATTGCTTCTATTCCCTGGTTAAGTATTGTATGTCCGTTCAATCTTTTTAACAAGACGTTTGCAGCACTATAATTAGTTATATCACTTTATCTAATATCTACATATATAGTGTCAATATTACATATTCTAGAAAGGTGAAATGATGTTTCCTTTTATTACCTTTATGAATATATTAAAAAAATAATTTTATATTTATTATAATTCATATTCATAAACAATTTCGTTAAAAACAAATTTCAAATAATAATAGCAACAACATGATGGAAAATACATAATATCAAGGAAAATATATCAATACTGCGATAATGTGTACAAATGTCCGATAATACCAACAAATGACAAAAAACATCGCATTGCGATAAGATTATTGATAAGGTAGACCTATGTCGAATCGTTCGCTTCGACTCAATAACTACAGAAATATAAAATTCTGTTACTTCTATGAAATAATTACTCATTTTTTATTTATGTATATGGAATGACAAACAAGCTTACAATCCACCTATGTTAAATGTCGCCTAAATGCATGAATAGCATCACGGTCATCACGTTATATGTGATACAGTGATAAGACTCATACGTTGCTATTTCAGAGGACTAAGACGTCATATCTACTATAATTTAACGGAACAATCTGTATTCTACAATCGAAACAGTTTGCAAATGAAGCTGTTTGGCAGCTGATTAAGGTGACACCACAGAAATTTTAATTGTGAAGAAAATTTGGTGTAAATTTGAGATAAAAAGACTGTTGGTATTCAACCTTATTATCTTATATCTAAATTAAATCTGAAAATGTTTTTGAATGTATCTCTAGGCGTCTTAATGACTTACCTAATTTTCATGAAATTTACTATATACATAGCAGATGTCAATTAATATATGTATAATATTTCTATACATATTCTATTTATGCCATGCCGACGACTTTTTGTATTATATATTTGGTGCAATAAAGATATAAAATAAATATTGTGTTATATTATACAAACTAGACCTAATATTATTGATTTTATTTTTTTAAGTTTCAACGTATATCTGTATCTATGCGTGTCTCTCTCGTGTCTTTAACAAAAACTGCAACTTGATCTATCCTAATTCAGTAATCGATAATTAAGAGACACACTCTTATTTATCGATTACTGAATCAGGATAGATCACAATGAATGATGACAATGGAATAGTGTGCACTGATGAGCTTTTGGCATAATGTTGTATCAGAGGAGAGTGATAAAGGTGGGCACTAGCTCATAGTGGCAAAATTACCAGGAATTAACCACGCTGGTTTCTAGGAGGTACCACGTGGAGGTTGACCTGATATAACATTGAATGAGTGCGCACAAAGTCCATTATAAACAATCTCCTCCCACCAAGTTGCAATTGTCAACTACGACCTAAAGTAGCCTCATAGACTGTGTAAAAAAACATAACGGGGTACAAAATAATGAATATGGGCCATAATTTAAGACTAATAAATAAATCTTTTTGTTTATTAAATTATGACTAATAAGTTAATACATATAATTATTCAATCTAAATCCGAATTGATTTGTTTTTAAATTAGGGAGGTATTTAAGTTTAGATCGTAGATAAATAGGACAATTTTCAAAATACTATGTACTTCCAAACTAAACAGAACTTGTATCGATATAATTAAATACATTATTTTTACTTAAATACGTAGATAATACCCAGACTTTTTATTGAAAAAGGATCATATTTCCGAATACTAATAGAACGCGACAATCCTAACTGCGACTATTAGAAGTTAGACTACTTAGAACCACTAGACCTCCGAGGCCATAGAACAGAGAAGAGCTTATGTATTTAATGTCAGTCCATCTCGACTGTAAAGTCGACATCTGCGTGTTGCGTCAGGCCTTAGATAAAGAAGGGCTCGTATATTGTCAACCGTCGGCGTCCGCGTCGTCAGCGTCACAATCCCGACCAGGGTTACCAACCTTAAAACTCTTAGCCTCGTTCGAAGAAATAAATAATCTCATATATTAGCTTGATTTGGCTCGTAATATATAGTATTTGGCCCGAATTATGTCGGTCAGTCTCGTACCAAGTTATGATGATGAAAAATCCTCATATAAAAGTCAATTGTACAACGAATCTTGTATGGTTGGCATCCCTATTCCCGACATGATCCTTTCTGCGTCGCGCTGCCGCCGCGCCTGCGCGACCGGTTCCATCGCGATCGTTCACCCGCGCACCTCTTACTTCCCGACGGTTGCAAAATACCAACCAAATTTCATTAATTTTTTTATACCCGTGTATGTACTCCATTGTCTTCATTTAAAGCCCGAGCATGGTTGTCAACCTTGAAACATTTAGCCCTTGTAGAGCCTTGAAAGAACTAAAACAAATCGTACACTGCGTCTGCGTCTGCGTAATATGACTCTCTAATCTCGTACAACTAAAATGACATAGGGACAACGTACATTTGGCATCACTCTAACCCAAAACAAAAATGAATTAGTACAATCTGTACGACCACCACAGTATCGTTAACATCTAGACAAGAATATTTTTATCATTAAAATATATAATACTGCACTAATCGACAGTTTTAATGATGATGTAAAGGACGCGATCAGTCGATTGTGTCGATGGAGTTTGAGATTGTTCGCCATGGTATTGAAACAGGGCAGGGCTGCCAACCTTAAGAGCTTTCACCGGGTACAAAATAATTTCAAAATTTCGTACATCGGTTCTCTTATTTCATATATCGTCATATGTTGTGACGATAGTATTTATCAGCATATGTAGATTAAATCTAAACTGAGTTGAAGTGAAAAATTTATTCGTACAACGTGTGGTGTCTTCGAATCCTATACCGAAGATGGAAATTAAGTTCTTATGCTGGTACGGTTGGCAGCCCTGGTAGGACGAGCGTCGAGCCGACCTTGGCAGTGGCGTTGACTCGAGCGGCCTCAAATCGCAAGCAACGGTCATACAACAAATACAATATGTTGAGTTGACTTTGAAATTATAAAGATAATGTGATCCGCCACTTTAAATAAGTAATATGGTAAAATCAACGTATCGGTAGTTTGAAGCATAATGCTGGTCATTGTTTTTGGAAGGGCGTCAGTGACATAAACAGAAGGGTGTTTATGTGCTTTTCGATTCGAAGGCAACTTAAAATTTTATAGAAATGAGAAATAGAAAATAATCATTATTTAAATAAACATAAGCACTTTTGAATATTGTTTTGATTCTACTACCCATTCAAAACGTAGATTCACAAGAAGAACGAGCAAGAAACTTACGTGATGTTGTAAAAGATGTTGTTCAGAAATACATTTTAAGAATTTTAAGTAAATACAAACTGCCAAATAGCAAAGTTGACATTTGAGATACACGTTTATATAGCTACATGTATACCATATATACCTGTAATAATATTACATCAATACCTACGTTTTCTTTTGAAAGTAGGCGAGTCTTTAAATTCGATAATTATAATTTAAACGTTACAAGGTATCATTCATTATCGAGATTGAGCATTTCAAATGTTGAATATACTAACAGGTATTCGAATTCGAAAAATTTTATACTGAAGAGTTACTATCAATACGTAACGTTATGTACTTGCCTATATGTGTATTATTGCACCTCTCTATAACCACATATTTATAATGATATATGCCATTAATTTAAGATTACTAAATGAGTCTTTAGGTACTTACGAGGGACTCCTCATTGACATCATTAACGTAAAATAGTACTGTTTCCCTACATGATTTATGCTCAGTAAGGTA